TATCTCTCTCAGGAGTTGAAGCCTACAGCCTTTCTGTCCATGCAGCAACTGATGGAAAAGGGGGTCTTTTTTTATGATGTTGTATTATGTGTTATTGCAAAAATGAGTATATACAGTATATACATATGCATTCTTGAATCATTCTTGTGTCTTGCCTCTCTACAAACTTTTAATATCTGGCTATAATTTAGTGACTGCAAATGCTGATTTCATTTGATTCCATCTTTATTATACCTGATAATGAGCTAGTTCAACTTGAGGGGGCTAATCAATTTAGGGTACTTAAGGTACTCCACTTTCAGTTGTTTAAAGACTGAAATACATTTTTCATTTATATTTTAAGTGTAAATTCATTTAAATTTAAAATGGTTAGCTCAAAGCAGGTATTACACACTTTGTAATTAACATCTGATGCATTTATCAATCAAAAATCACAATTGAAACAAAAAATGTACATGAGATTCATTATCTATAACAACAATGTACAAACATTACTACAAACTAAACCACCAGGGTCCCAAAAATGCAGCCTCCGCTATATTATCCAATTTGGTAGGTGGCGCTGTTACAAAAAAATAGGGTCCTAGAACTGCGGTCCTAGAACTGCAGTCCTGCAACTGCAGCCTCCGGTTGTGCAGGAACACCCAATCAAAAATCACAATTGAAACAAAAAATGTACATGAGATTCATTATCTATAACAACAATGTACAAACATTACTACAAACTAAACCACCAGGGTCCCAAAAATGCAGCCTCCGCTATATTATCCAATTTGGTAGGTGGCGCTGTTACAAAAGAATAGGGTCCTAGAACTGCAGCCTTCGGTTGTACAGGAACACCCTTCTCACAGAGAAAGTGATATTGCATTCTTCGTGCCTCACTCAGGTCAAGAGTGTTTAAAAGCGCAATATCGCCCCCTGGAGATGGGGAGCATAACAGTGAACACGTCGTAGAAGATTACATTTAGGCTACATTTACATTTAGTCATTTAGCAGAAGCTTTTATCCAAATGAGGACAATAAAAGCAGTCAAAACTAACAAAAGAGCAACACTATATAAGTGCTGTGACAAGTCTCGGTTAGCCTAACGCAGTACACGTAGCAAGGTTTTTTTTAAATTATATAATAAATAAACAGATAGAATAGAGCAAGCTAGTGTAAGAGGCCTTTTTTAAAGATTAATTTAGTCATTTCGTACACCATAGATTGGAAATCGATTTTGGACATTTTACAAAATAAACCCATCCAATATAGAGCGTGTTACAGTGCCTGCTACTTTTTCAGCGACCTTGGTTCTGGAATATTTTCCCCATTCACTTATCCCATAGAGATTGTTTATTTATTTATGTATGTATTTGTTTGTTTGTTTGTCTAGCTGTCTGTCTGTCTGTCTGCCTGTCAAAGTACTATCTATCTATCTATCTATCTATGTATCTATCTATCTCTCTATGTATCTATATCTATATATGTATCTATCTATGTATATATCTATGTATCTATATCTATGTATCTATCTATCTATGTATGTATCTCTCTATCTATGTATGTATCTATCTATCTATCTATGTATCTATCTATCTCTCTATGTATCTATATCTATATATGTATCTATCTATGTATATATCTATGTATCTATATCTATGTATCTATCTATGTATGTATCTATCTATCTATCTATGTATCTATCTATGTATATATATCTATCTATGTATGTATGTATCTATCTATCTATGTATCTATCTATCTATCTATGTATGTATGTATGTATGTATGTATGTATCTATCTATCTATGTATGTATCTATCTATCTACTGTATGTATCTATCTATCTATCTATCTATCTATCTATCTCTATCAATCAATCTATCTATGTATCTATCTATCAATCTATCTATGTATCTATCTATGTATGTATCTATCTATCTATCTATCTATCTATCTATGTATCTATCTATCTATGTATGTATATGTATCTATCTATGTATGTATCTATGTATCTATCTATCTATCTATCTATGTATCTATATCTATCTATCTATCTATCTATGTATGTATATGTATCTATCTATCTATCTATCTATCTATCTATGTATGTATCTATGTATCTATCTATCTATGTATCTATCTATCTATATCTATCATCTGTCTATCTATGTATGTATGTATCTATCTATATCTATCTATCTATGTATCTATCTATCTATGTATCTATCTATCTATGTATCTATCTATCTATCTATCTATCTATCTATCTATCAATCTATCTATGTATCTATCTATGTATATATCTATGTATTGGAAATCGATTTTGGACATTTTACAAAATAAACCCATCCAATATAGAGCGTGTTACAGTGCCTGCTACTTTTTCAGCGACCTTGGTTCTGGAATATTTTCCCCATTCACTTATCCCATAGAGATTGTTTATTTATTTATGTATGTATTTGTTTGTTTGTTTGTCTATCTGTCTGTCTGTCTGCCTGCCTGTCAAAGTACTATCTATCTATCTATGTATCTATCTATCTCTCTATGTATCTATATCTATCTATCTATGTATCTATCTATCTATCTATCTATTTATCATCTGTCTATCTATCATCTATCTATCTATCTATCTATCTATTGTAGTGAATCAGCTCATGGGGAAATATGAATAATTAATCATAACTAGTTATAATTAATTATAAATATTTAGATCCGCTGTAGATATTTAGCTGACCTCTCAGGGTCAACTGTCTGTCAATTCTAAGAACGTTAATTTCCTGGTTAAGGGAAATAACTTTCTTACTGTACAATTCTACAAAGAGCTTGTAGCATAAATCTGCATGATTAAGTGACTCCAGTTATGACTATATCTATCTATCTATGTATCTATCTATCTATGTATCTATATCTATCTATGTATATATCTATGTATCTATCTATGTATCTATCTGTCTATCTATGTATCTATATATCATCTATCTATCATCTGTCTATCTATCTATCTATCTATCTATCTATCATCTATCTATCTGTCTATCTATCTATCTATCTATCTATCTATCTATCTATCTATCTATCTATCTATCTATCTATCTATCTATATCTAAAAGTTCCAAGCCATGAACCAAACCAAACCAAACCAAAAAAAGTATAATAAAACTGGACAAAAAGACAAAGGTACAAGACCGTGTACTTATGTCCTTCCTTACTCGACTAGGGAAAGAACTACAATTCCATTCGCACTGCGAATGATATACTCGAATTACATAATAATAATAATTTTTAAGATGCTTTAAAATGCTTAAAGTTGAAATAATGTGGATAGATGGCTGCAATATAAGCATATACCATCAATTAACAAACTCGTAGCTCACAGTCTTCAATTGCTTGTAGCTTGCTTAAGTTATAAACATCAATTCTCCTATGGATAAAAAGAGATTTTTTAATTCTGACTGGAACCCGACTGTTGCACTCTTATTTAATGACCATTCCCATCCCAATGTGAAACTTTCAACATAACTTACAAAATGTTCATACATTTATGGACAATCTTTTCCAACCAATAGAAAAGTGCCAAACTTCCACTGACCGGGAAAACACAGTAATTGACACGTTAGATGACCAATCAGAGCAGTGAGATCTTGAAGCGTTAACCAATTGGAATCATCAAAAACTAAAACCGCCTCCTTTATTCGCTTACCCAGGTGATGACGTGTCAAGAAGGTACCGGAAGCAGCGGTGTCGCTCCAAAAAATGGCATACCAGACAATCCGACAGGAATATTTACAGATTCCTGTGGTCACTAGAGCTTATACCACCGCCTGCGTACTCACTACAGCCGCCGTGGTAAGTAAATGGATGAATATTAGGGTCTTAAGCGCTATTTTCTGCCGTGTCCTCGTCTCTGTGCAGTTAAAACACAGCTTGTTTCCTCTGGGATGTTGTCAGGACATTTGAACGTAAACCCTCCGGTAAAATGTCTGTGTATGTTATGCCATGTTAAGAGTAATGCATTTAAGGTTACTTGTCACTAGGTTTTGAGTCCAGCATGTTCACATCCTATGTTCACAATCATTGAGCTGACTTACCTTCACAGTTAAACCTCAAGCGAGCTGCTCAAAGTGAATTTGCTTTTGATTTCAGTTATTATTTTAGTGGAGCATTCAAATGTCAACCTGCAGCATGTCATTTGTATCTGATTATGGCGTTTACTTTGTGTCCACAGCAATTAGAACTCATCACACCTTTCCAGCTTTACTTCAACCCAGATTTAATATTGAGGAATTATCAGGTAAGTGTCAAAATAAGTGTTTCTTTGAAGAACATTGCGCCTTGTTTATTTTGAACCCTGTAAAACCTGACATATGAAATAATAGTCCGAAAAAAATATATACCTTTATATGCAATGCACTGCAATACAATGATGATTGAGTGATGTAAAAAAAAAGCCTGTGAAAAGAACATGACTGAAAAAAAACTTTATAAAATCATTAAAGATTTCACAGCAAAAAGACACGTGTACCACAACCTAAAGGTAAACATTTTTAGAATCATACTAAAAGCCCTTTTACTTCATAAAAAAGTAGAAATTGTAATTCAGATGACAGAAGGCATATAGTTGAATGTGTATAGAATGTATACAGTAGGCTTTATAGTGTTAATATTGCAGCATGTGATTCTAAATATTTTTGTGTGTGTGTGTTCATAGGTATGGCGGCTAATAACCAACTTTTTGTTTTTTAGTAGAAATTGTAATTCAGATGACAGAAGGCATATAGTTGAATGTGTATAGAATGTATACAGTAGGCTTTATAGTGTTAATATTGCAGCATGTGATTCTAAATATTTTGTGTGTGTGTGTTCATAGGTATGGCGGCTAATAACCAACTTTTTGTTTTTTGGTCCGGTTGGGTTCAACTTCTTATTCAACATGATATTTTTGTATCCTTGTTATATCATAATATGTTCATAGGTGATTGTACATTTAGCAGTGTAAGGGATGGTGTCTGAAGTTTAAGGTTTGTTCGGTCCTTAACTGGAGTCTCACAGGTACCGGTACTGTCGGATGCTGGAGGAGGGGTCCTTCAGAGGGAGAACTGCTGACTTTGTCTTTATGTTCCTCTTCGGTGGCCTTCTCATGACTGTATCCTTCACATTTTCTCAAAAGAGAAGCACTCATTTTATTTATCTGTATAGCAGATCAGATCATAAAAACCATTTGCTTGGACAATCAGTTTTACTTAAACTTTAAGGACTTTTTAAAATGTAAAATATTCAAAAGTTTTATTCAAATAAATATATATATGTATATATATATATATATATATATATATATATATATATATACACTAGGGTTAATATTGCAGCATGTGATTCTAAATTTTCTTTGTGTGTGTGTTTTTCCATAGGTATGGCGGCTAATAACCAACTTTTTGTTTTTTGGTCCGGTTGGGTTCAACTTCTTATTCAACATGATATTTTTGTATCCTTTATTATATCATATTCATAGTGAACCGCTAAATTGGGTAGTTAGCCGTCTAAGGGATAGTGTCTGAAGTTTGCAGTTTGTTCAGTCCTTGACTCGAGTCTCACAGGTACCGGTACTGTCGGATGCTGGAGGAGGGGTCCTTCAGAGGGAGAACTGCTGACTTTGTCGTTATGTTCCTCTTTGGTGGCCTTCTCATGACTGTATCCTTCACATTTTCTCAAAAGAGAAGCACTCATTTTATTTATCTGTATAGCAGATCAGATCATAAAAACCATTTGCTTGGACAATCAGTTTTACTTAAACTTTCTTAAGGACTTTTTAAAATGTAAAATATTCAAAAGTTTTATTCAAATAAATATATATATGTATATATATATATATATATATATATATATACACTACCAGTCAAACATTTTTGAACAGTAAGATTTTTTTAAGTTTAAAGAATTCTCTTTGCTCACCAAGCCTGCATTTATTTGATCCAAAATACACCAAAAGCAGTAATATTGTGAACTATTTAAAATAACTGCTTTCTATTTAAATATATTTAAAAATGTAATTTATTCATGCAAAATAAATAAATGCACGCTTGGTGAGCAAAAGAGAAATTAAAGCATTCAAAATCTTACTGCTCAAAAACCTTTGACTGTGTGTGTGTGTGTGTGTGTGTGTGTATATATATTATATATATATATATATGTATATATGTGTGTGTGTATACGTGAGTATGTATGTATATTATTATTATATATATTTTTTTAATGCAACCCTTACATGAGAATAGCCTCAGCTGCTGACATGGCATTAAAATCTAAACTACCTACCTACATAAGCATAATAAATAAACAGACAAGTTTCTAATCATTTAAGATATTCAGTTAATTAAAAGACTACAAAAAATGAATAAGTCCAAAAAAGATCATGTAAAAAAAAAATGGATTACATAAATGGGGAAAGAAAAAAGTATAAATAAAAGGACAAACTTTTAAATAAAAATACAGTATATAAAATCAATGTTGATCATACATATTGCATTGAAGGCAATGTTCCAACTTAGGCATGTTTCTATTAACATATAATTGCCTAATATGCTTTAGATCATCATCCTGTCTATTGAGAAGTTCACAGAATGAAATAAGTTTTGTGGTACCGTGGAAAGAAAAGAAGAGGAAAATGAGTCACCTCTCACTCTAACCTCAAGATGTAGACAAATATAGAAGCTGAATAATGAAAGATGTTTGACCTCATTCTATATTTAATAAAATCATGTGAGACGTCTTGTAGAAACAACAGTAAAAACAGTCAAAATATCCAATTTGCTAAAAAATAACAACAATATAACATATAAGCACTTTAAGATTTAAAGATGTATAACATGCATTACATCTTACATTTGCTCAAATACCGGTTGTGATTTTCTTAATGACTGTGCAGATATTTGGCACGTTTGTGAGTCTTGTGTTCTTAGGTCAGGCTTTCACCATCATGCTTGTGTACATATGGAGCAGGAGGAACCCAAACGTGCGCATGAATTTCTTCGGCCTTTTGAATTTCCAGGCCCCCTTCCTCCCGTGGGTGCTCATGGGATTCTCTCTGCTGCTGGGAAACTCCATCATTGTAGATCTTTTAGGTAGAGACTTGTGTGGATTCACAGATTTATTCACTTGTCTTGTGCTGATACTTGCATTGGCAATAAATTAGTCCAATTTTGTTCATTATTATTTGTCATTTTAATATGAATTTTTAAATACTAATGAATGAATCTGTTGTTGGTATTATATGTTCTGTCTTTCCATTAAAGGCATCGCAGTGGGACATGTGTACTACTTTTTGGAGGATGTGTTTCCCAACCAACCAGGTGGAGGCAGATGGCTGAGGACTCCCTCCATCCTGTGAGTGCTAATGTCTCATGTCTTCACAATGTCAAGGGCTTATATGTATTCAAGGCAAATGGTGTATACACTACCATTCAAAAGTGTGGGATCTTTCAAGTTTTCCTTTCTCTTTGGAGTGTTACAAGCTGATTGTGCATAGATAAGATCCCTGAAGTTGCAAAGACTAAAGTCTCAAAACCAAAGAGATATTCTTTATCAAATTTAAGACTCTGCCACGCCCCCCTAAAACGGCTCGTTCTAACACGCCCCCACATATCTACGTCACTATGTGGAAATATTTGCGTAATGCCGCCCAAATGTGCGCGCAAAGAAAGAAGACGTGGTTTCAGTAACCGCAGTTAGTGTTGAAGCAGCCATGTCAGGGAGACGCTGTGTGTTTCTAGGCGAAAGCAAAAGCACTTTATTTGGCCTTCCGAAAGTAGATGCATTTAGGAATCTTTAAGATTACTTACAACAGAACAGCAATGCATTTTATGGACGACCATTTCATGAACCTAGGAGAGGAGGTAATTCTGACTTTGCTATGACAATCTGGCGTTTCTGAATCAGCTACTGTTTTGTTATTAGTTTAAGTATTTGCTAATGACTGTTCAAATGCGGATTTTTGCGCATCGTGTGTGTGTGTGTGTGCGAGAGAGAGAGACAGGGTGTTCGGCCAATCACAATGCACTGGGTCAGCTGGCCAATTAGAGCAGTCTGCGCTTGTCGGAAGGAGGGACTTTGTAGAAAACGAAGCATTTGAGAGAGGCGGGGCATAGAGGACCTACAATGTACAGTATTTGAAAAATGATGTGTTTTTTGAACATTAAAGCATGTCAACATATTCTGTTATATTCATCATATTCATATGACCCCTTTAATGTATTAAAAATTAATCACTGTTTCTACAAAAATATTAAGCAGCAGAACTGTTTAAGATAATAATACAGTTCTTGAGCACCAAATCAGCATATTAGAATGATTTCTGAAGTATCAAGTGATTCTCTGAACTGATCTCTGGGAGGTAAAGGTGGTTTCTCTATCTCAAGCTCTTTATGATAAACTTGGTTGTTCCTGTAATGAAAAAAAGTCATTTATTGTAAACACATTTTTGTGTAGTAAGCATCTAGTCTTATATAAGCTTGACAGACTTACTGTTTTTTTACATTTGTGTCACCGTAATGATCTGGTTTTGCTTGTGTACTGTACCAAGCAGCTAGAAAAAGAGGAAGCAAAGATTGAATGATTGAAATAAAAAATGGTAAATAAAATGAATCAAACAAAAGTGGTATGCAACAATAAAAACGGCTATTATAATGACTAGTCAAATGTGGCAAAGGTCACAAAGCCTATTTTTCAGTAACTATGATTTTGAGTCCAGTTACGTGCAGAGGCGGACAGTAGTGAAGTATTTTTTACTTTACTCAAGTAAATTTAAAACGTATCTGTAGTTTATCAGAGTGTTTTTCTTTGGAAAACTTTACTTCACTACATTCCAAAGCATAATGTCATACTTTTTACTGCACTTCATTTCATAAATAAAAGTTGTTGTTTGTTTTACCTTTAATACTTAAGAACATTAAAAATGTAGTACTTTTTTGTACTCAAGTAAATCTTTGAATTCATTTTACTTGAGTAAAAGTAAGATAGTAATAGATTTCTAATGAAACGTAGTGCAGTAAAAAGTACAATATTATGCTTTGGAATGTCGTGAAGTAAAGTTTTCCAAAGAAAAACACTCTGATAAAGTACAGACACCTGAAAAGTACTTTTACAGCAGAGTAAAAATACTTCACTATGTCCGCCTCTGGTTATGTGAAATGACACAGACGGGTGTTTTCTGCAGCTGTATTTTAGTTTCAAACATTTAGTTCAAAACCCCTTTATATTATACAAATTTTTTGTGAATTCCTTCTTTTTTTAAGTTAAATGGGTGTTAAATGAACTAAACTGTGTGATAATTAACTCCTGTTCAACAGACGTATTTTACCTCTTTTACTGATGCAAACATTGATGATTATGAAAATCATTACTATCACCAGAGAGACCAGAATGATGGCCAGCAGTAATGCTGCCCAGAAATACCGACGTAAAAACTCCATCTGTGAAATGAAACATATAGAAAATGTTTAGATTCTATGATATATCACTATTAGATTAGCATATTTTGTTCCTCATTATGATAAATAACATATTTGACGCACTAACTTGAAACTCCTGCTACTTCTTCTTTTCAGAACTGTTCAGGCACATGCTTGAAGTTTCTTATTTTCCAGTCAGCTGTGTTTCCTGGGTGGAGAATGTTAACCTAGTTTTAATATGCTTCCAAAACATGCTTTCAATAACTATTTTGCTATTTTAATATGCTTTCAAAAGCTATTTCGTAATGACAGAAAACGAATCCCTATGTAGTAATGAATACAGTCGTTTTCATTTGTAATATTTCAGATTTATCGCTATGGCATAAACAATGTCTCTCTAGCTCTATCATGCACACAACACTCATCCTGCAAGAGACCAAGCTTTACACATGATTAACTGACTTCCTGCATCATTCTTTTATTAGCACTGGCTTATGCGATGCGACCTAATGCGTCCTACACAGCTGACCTTCTCAGTTTTGGAATTCATTTATTTTAATAGTTTAGTATTTTGATGATTTTAATAATGTACAATATTTTCACAAACGGAATTAGAAAATAGACCATTATTCATTGAATCATTCTCAGTTCGTAAAGTGCAGATTCACACATTCCAAAACGTTAAAACAATTATTAACGTTGTAAAGGAATATTGTATATCGCAACGGCAATGTTGTAGATAATTCACTGCATGGAGCTTTTCAGATTGACAAACTTCAATAACCAATAAATTATTGTAGTGATGTATTTCTGTATTCACACTGAAATTGCTATTAATTTATAATCTACACTTGAATTTAATCTATTACATTTTTTCATTATAAAAACTCAACTGTTTTATAGTTGATGTGTATGTGAAAATGAAAATAAGAAAAAACATAATTACCTTTGTCTTCAGTGTAGATCACATCAGTCTTGTACATGTTCTGTAAAAATGTCAATTACAGAAGTGTCACACACAATCTATTACATTTTTTCATTATAAAAACTCAACTGTTTTATAGTTGATGTGTATGTGAAAATGAAAATAAGAAAAAAACATAATTACCTTTGTCTTCAGTGTAGATCACATCAGTCTTGTACATGTTCTGTAAAAATGTCAATTACAGAAGTGTCACACACATCTGGGAAATGTAAATAAATGATTAAATTCTTCAGAACTTCCAGCCTCTCTCCACCCACCAGTCCTTCTACATAAGCTGTAGGTCTGTGTGACTCAGTGTGTTGTCAGGCAATTGTACTTCGACTGTGTGTGTTTTTAGTGTGCTGTGGGGAGTTGAATGAGAGAGAGAGAGAGAGAGAGAGAGAGAGAGAGAGAGAGACTGAGGGATGGTATAGCCTAACTATTCTGCAGAGATCTGAATCCAAGCACGTAATTCGCTGTCAACTCAAAGGGGGGCTTCTATATGTTTATATTAGGTGTGGCCTCAGGGAGTTGTTTGTTTATTTATTTGTGGTACAGTGGGTGTGGGGTGAAATATTCATGAGTTTATTTATATATTATGTCAACATAAGCCTTAGGTCTGTGTGTCTCAAAAGTGTATTGTTAGAATCCACTGTTTTTAGTGTGCTGTCTGCAGGGGCGCCGCTAGCAATTTTGGGCCCTATGAAAGAATATGAGGTTGGGCCCCCTACCTCACCAAACATACACTATATTGCCCAAAGTATTGGGAAAACTCAATAAAACTACCAAAAAAAAACTCATCGCCAAACACCAATGACTTGTACATATGCGTACAATCATTTCAGACACTTCCAAAACTGTGGCAACAAAGATGGAAATACAATTTTTAAATACATGAATTATGTTTCCATCTTTGATGCCACAGTTTTGGAAGTGCCTTTTTCTGTTCTAAAGAAGGGGGTGTCCCAATACACTTGTCCATATGTATGTACAAGTCACATGTGTTTGGTGATAAGTTTTTGGCTCAAGGTCTGCATTTAAAGTCACACCAGAGGTGTTCAGCTGGGATTAGGACTTGGCTTTCTGCAGACCAGTCCGGTCTGGTTTTTATTTTTTTTACCTTGCCTTATACACAGAGGCATTGTTGTGTTAGAATAGAAAAGTGTCATTTTCAAACTATTGGTATAAAATCAGAAGCACACAAACCTTTTTTTAAACTAAAAATGAGAAATTACTAAAGTAGTCATTAGGTAGTCAGTAGTCAGTAGTTCATTAGAAGGGGGTGTCCCAATACTTTTGCCAATATAGTGTACAAGCCAGCCTAGCTATTCAAAATATTTGTCTGCAATTTAATAATATTGACCTATTACTTTTGACTATTAGGTATTAACATAATTCATTCAGAACCTGTTTTATGGACATAGACTTTCTGTACCACAGTATTCTGCTGATATGGAATGAGTTTGACTACTTAATCAGTTATATTAATATAAATGCTTCACTGGGGCAAACAAAAAAAATCCTAAAATAATAAATAGGATACCCCATAGCAGCATTTCCAGCAGTATGCAACATTTCTCAATCATGATCTTACTCAGCTAAATGTGACTATTAGCTTAACAGCTGTATTCCTTATTTGCTAGCTACCTATGCACATACAGCATGCAATGTTAAAAATGTTCTACATTATGAACCTTAACCCAAAAACCTTTAGCTTCATACACTGTAGATAATTGTGACCCTGCTTATGGAAACCCAGCTAAAGTATTTGTTTTAAACAGTGGATGAGTAATTCACTCCTTGATTTGCTTAATAAAAGCCTCCTTTGAGATCGTTTGGACAGACATGTTTATTGTGTATTATTTACAACGTGTTTATTGTTACGTTTAGTGTGGCAAAATAGAAGTGCAGCCGTAATTCGCATGCAGTGTATCAGGTTGCCATGACAACCGCATCCGCTTCCTGCTGCTGCTCTATGTAATCAGAGGGTGAATTTGTAGATTTTCTATAGCAAAACTAAAATGTGTTTAAAAGTGCGACTGACCAAATCGTCTGGCTCGGTTTGCCCCCCCTACACACTGGAAAAGGAGATCAGAGTGGCAAAGAGGAACTATTCTGAAAAACTAAGGACTCAGTTCACTTCCAGCAACTCAGCATTAGTGTGGAAAAGTCTGAAAGAGATCACCAACTACAAGACACCATCCCCCAGCATTGTGGAGAATCAACAGCTGGCAGACGATCTGAATGAGTTCTACTGCAGGTTTGAAAAAACACCCCACACCAGCCCTGAACACCTCTCCACACAACCATTCACACCATTCACACCTCCTGCAACCCCCCTATCCCCGACACTTGCACCTCAAATCAGTGAAGACTAGGTGCGCCAGGAAAAGCAGAAAAGCATCAGGCCCAGATTGTGTGACACCAGTCTGTCTGAAATCCTGTGCTGACCAGCTGGCCCCCATCTTCACACAGATCTTCAACTGATCACTGGAGCTGTGGGAAATCCCTTCATGCTTCAAATGCTCCACCATCATCCCCATCCCAAAGAAATCCCAAAATTACAGGACTAAATGACTACAGGCCTGTGGCTCTAACGTCTGTCGTCATGAAGTCATTTGAAAAACTGGTGCTGGCCCACCTGAAGGACATTACTGGACCCTTGCTGGATCCTCTTCAGTTTGCCTACAGAGCAAACAGGTCTGTGGACGATGCAGTCAACATGGGACTGCATTATGTTCTGCAACAAACCTAAAGTGGGACACTCACATTGACTGCATTGTGAAAAAGGCCCAGCAGAGGTTGTACTTTCTTCGCTAGCTGAGGAAGTTCAACCTGCCGCAGGAGCTGCTGAAACAGTTCTACTCTGCTATCATTGAATCCATCCTCTGCACTTCAATAACGGTCTGGTTCAGCTCAGCTACCAAATCTGACCGCAGAAGACTACAGAGGGAAGTCCGGACTGCTGAGCGAATCATTGGTACAACCCTCCCTTCTCTCCAAGAACTGTACTCATCCAAAGTGAGCAAAAGGGCTGGCAAAATCACTCTGGACCCCTCACATCCAGCACAGTCCCTCTTTGAACTGTTGCCATCTGGTCGACGCTACTGAGCACCAGAGCAGCCAGACACAGGAACAGTTTCTTCCCTCAGGTAATCCATCTCATGAACACTTGACAATAACTGTGGAACACACAACACTGTTTATACACTTACACACTTATTTATCTAACACACATACTTAGTCTACACCTCAAATTTGCACATAATATACCTGTCCATACAAAACTGTCTATTGTAATATACCTGAAATAAAAAAAACATTTTTTTATTATCTGTGTTTTTGTTCATGAAAACAAATTCCTCGTATGTGAAAACATACCTGGCAATAAAGCTCATTCTGATTCTGATACTGAGTAGTGGGTATTCTATGCATTCAGCATTTTTTGTTGGTTGATTTGTTTGTTTGTTTATTATGGTATAGTGGGTGATGTAAATTCAGTGAATTATTCATGAATTTATGTATTTATTTATTTGTTTGTTTATTTATTTATTGTGGTAAGTTTTGGTTGTTTGGTTGTGTTTATTGTAGTACGATGCCGTGGAAAATTTACTGATCTTTTTTTATTTATTTATTTGTTAATAATAATTATTATTATTATCATTGTGTGTGCATTTATTCTTGTGGCGTATTCAGTGAAATATTCATTAATTAATTAATTAAAATTGAAAATCGAATGAATAGCCTAATAAACGAGACACATATACAAAACAAACCGCATAAATAAAATTGCATTTATAAAATAAATAAATATAGATAACGCAAACAAAATGTCAAATTCAAGTCTTTCTGTGTTGTTTGTTAATCATGAATTTATCGTTTACTGAAGACAGCTCCGCCCATTCGGTGCGCGCATGCGCAGTGCGTGTTATTTCTACAATGACGTTGCTCAGTGTCTACTAGCAGTCTGTTCTGCTGGGCGCTCCTCGCTTTCCTTCAGAGAGCCGCTTTTCTAAACTCAGCCCCCGGAAACCATGTCCGAGCAGGCCTCGGGACCCACCCAGCCGCCTCAACAAGACGGTAAGCATTTTTCACCACAAGGAGAGGTTTGTCGTGCTGATTTAGCTGTGCTCGTTGAAGGCCTGTGGCCTGTTCGTCCACGGATTAGCAAGCAACAGTCAACCGGCTCACAGATACACCTCTATTTGCCTATTTATTAAAACAGTCATGTAATGCTTTAATGCTTGATATGCGTCGATGCTTCTGACGGAACGCTTCTTGCACAAAGCATTGGATATGCTGGTCTTCAAGTACACTAAAGCGTGTTTATAATATGGTCAACATGATGAAGTTGCACCCAGTGTGATCAGCAGATGACAGCTGGACACTGACAGTGTGTTAAGAGTATCAGGACAGACGGGTTCGTTTTTTATCATGTCTCCATGTTCTTGTTTGTAACGTTGTTCAGATGATATGATTCGCGTGCATCTTCTTTGTCTTTTGTGTAGATAGTAAATAGGCCTTGGCAATGTATTAAAGGAATAGTTCACCAAAATTAGTTCACCTTCTGGCCACAATATGTAGATGAGTTTGTTTCTTGAACAGATTTGGAAAAATTTAGCTTTGCATCACTTGCTCACCATTGAATCCTCTGCAGTGAATGGGTGCCGTCAGAATGAGATTTGTGAATTTTTGTGATGGTTTTTAATCCGCAAGTAATCCAGACAACTCCAGTCTGTCAATTCACATCTTGGGAGGTGAAAAACTGCATATTTGTAAGAAATAAATCCATTATTAAGACTTTAAACAGTTGCTACTGGACAACACGCATATTAATCCATTATCCATAATAATGCTTCCGTCAGTGGAAAAGTCCATCCAACCTTGTTCTCACATCAAAATCCATCCACAATATTTGTTTACAACTGTTTTGGACTGTTTTCGCTTTTGTAAAGAGTGTTTGATCAATATTATATAGGACTTGTGTTTTAGCCACAAGCAATGTTTTGAAGTTAAAATGTCTTAATGGCTTTTTAAAAATGGCAAACACTTGTTGTACTGGAGTCATGTGGATTACTTGTGGATTATCATGATGTTTTTATCAGCTGTTTGGACTCATTCTGACGGCACCCATTCACTGCAGAGGATCCATTGATGAGGAAGTAATGTAATGCTAAATTACTTCAAATCTGTCATAAATGAAGAATCTAATTCGTCTACATTTTGGATGGCCTGATAGTGAGCACATTTTCTTTGTGTGTGTGTGAAGTATTCCTTTTATTATGATCAGGTATGACTCAAATGACATTTTATGGAAACAATTATTTTCAAGTTTTAAGTCTATGCACGTGCTGCTTCAGTCCGGTTGAGCTACATTTTTGTTGTAGGTTGTGTTCATAACACAGACATCTGTCATCCCTGAAGGCCTGTGGTTGCTTTGGGTGTAGTCGTCCTTTACAACCGTCCTTTGCTGCACTTTGTAATGCATATGCGTTAGTAAAAACTTGTATTTAGGCCTAATTAATGTAAAAACCAGCAATAGAGATGTATGATCTATCATGACATATTCGGGGTTGGCTGACCTATGTGACTGCTCTGGCTTGGACTTGGCAAGTCTGTACTTGTTTACTTTGATGAAATACTGCTTGTCTAGAATGATGTAAGGATCTTCATTGAAGAAAGTGTTTTTTCCCCCCGTAGGCTGATGTTCTTTAAATGAATCTGCCAGCTGGCTTAATGGCTATTAATCAAGCTGAAGCTTTATTCACATCATCTGTGGCTCTGATTCAATCAAGCATCAGTGCTACTGAAGAATATATCAAGAGAAAAACATCACATTGTTTATATAGTAATTTCTATCATAGATGTGTTTCTGTATATTCATTTTAATTTTATTATGATTATTACAATTTTTTCAAAATAATGTAATTGTAAGGTCTAAAATGTTTTGTGGGGGTCATAATAGTTGTTGTCTTTGACGTGGTATTTTGTAACACTTTAAAAGCCTCCGAACCTCAGTAAGAAGCCAAAGTAGTTTAGTAAAGGTCCAAATAGCAAAAGAGGGCTCTGACATGTTTGATTAGTGAATGAGAATCAAATCAAATAAAACTGTCCCAAATAAAACTCCCAACATGTGAACTCAAGAGAACTGAAGAGAATGTGAGCAATTATTTTTGCTTCCTTTTTTGACCTAAAGTTTTATAAGCTATATAGTACAAGTACACTACAGCTCAAAAGTTTGGGGTCAGTTTGATTTTTCTTTTTTTTTTTTTTTTAATTAATCATTAAGCAAGAATGCATTTATTGTTGAAATGTGGCATTAAAACATCTCCTGCGATGTGACTATCGCGGAAGCGCACATCGCGATATCAATGCTGATACGATATATAATGCAGCCCTACTGTGTGGGACTGATGGATGTTTGATTGCTCCGGCAGGGGTTCTGCAGCAGCGCGCGGCCGAGCAGGAGCAGGATCGAGCTGACTTCCTGCAGCTCAAACAACAGCTGGAGATGGAGTTCAACCAGAAGCGGGCCAAGTTTAAGGAACTCTATCTTTCTAAAGAAGGTAATGTATGGTTTACAATATTTGCTGATGGACCAATAAGATACAGAAAAAAGAGAGATGTATTTGTTTTGTTTTAGTTTTAGTTCATTAAAAAATTGCTTATTTTTAGTTTTGCTTGCTTGACACTTTTTTTTATTAATTTGTGTTTTTATAGTTTTTATTATTATTATTATTTCGTTTTTGATTTGTTTTTGTTAATTAATTTGTTTATTTATTTGTTATTTAGTTCACATAGGTGTAGTTTGTCAGTTTTAAAAGGGAAAACTAATTCTTTCAATAGACATGTAATGCATCCATTACACGTTGGGCCTGGATGCACACATAGATACAGTAGACTGAACAACAAGTTGTCATAGATCTTTATTTCCCAGTGAATCTGTCCTGGGGCAGGATGAAACCCAGATACATTTCCAAACTTTTCTATCAGCGTTAGCAGGGATCTGAACACTAGGCTCCGTTTATGCTTAATACATGAATATGGGTGCAATCGGAGTTCAAAGTTAATGAAACGTCATAGTGAGGACACGCTGTAATAGTGAAACAAATGCTGGTGGCCTTACAGAACTGAAGCTGTTGGTTCCTCTACATAAACCTTTGTTCTTGTCCTGTAAATATGTCAGAGGAGCTGAAGAGGCAGGCTGCTGTACTGGAGAAGGCCCAGGCAGAGCTGAGCAGTGTGCAGACGCAGCTGGAGGAGGCTAAAGCAGAGATGGAGACCATCAAAGCGGTGGCCACTGTCTCTGAGAGCACAAAGCAGGAAGCCATCGACCAGGTCAAGCAGCAGTGGCAGGAGGAGGTGGCATCACTGCAGGCTATTATGAAAGGTAATAAGATACTGATTATTTTCAAGTGTCTGGTAACGGATACGCAGAACCACTTTTTATTTATTGTTCTATTTCTGCTGGTTGAAACGGTAACTAAATCATTCATCTTTATCCTGAAGGTGACTGAACTGCTGTATGACAAAACTAATATTGCTTTGAGTAATAATAAAAAGTAAAATACTTTTTGAAAGCAACAAATTAAAGATAGCAACCTTCAACACGGTCACACCACTGCTTTTAAGAAGAAGCCATGGGTTAAATAGCTTAAAATTTTAAAGACTTTCTAGATGGCACGATTTATTGACGTTTTTCATATTATCTATACTAGTTCTACAGTTTTTTTTCTTTTCATTTTTTTAAATTTTTATAAAGAACTACTTTTATTCAGCAAAACTTTTATTTTATTCTTTATACAAAAGATTTAACAGATGATTTTCAAATAAATGCTGTTCTTTTTAAAGTGTTATTTAGTATTATTTATATACTAATAGCATTTGTATTATTATTTTGAATTATTTTTTTCTTATTTTAATTCTTCAATAATTTTTTTTGTAATGTTGTCATTTGTTTATTTGTCAGTATTTATTTGTTTCCAGTTAGTAATTTTAGTGCCTCAACTTAGTTGCCAGGACAGTATTTCTATTTGTTGTTTATTTTTTGACTAGTATTTATATTTCATTTTATTTCAGCTTTACTTCAATTAACAAAAATGTTTTAATAGTTTTAGTTTAACTTTGTCATTACAGCAATAAATTATATTTTAAAATTAGGGCTGGACAAGTTAATGCGTTAATGCATTATTTAAAGCCGACAATTATTTTATCACGCATTAACGCAGTTTTTATTATTATTATTATTATTAATATTTTGAAAGTCCGTTGCTCACTGGCTCTGAATATACATACAGACAAACCATCGGTCACAGGAGGGGTGGGATGTTGATCAGTGCTGGTTTGGGATGGGCGTCATCATGCGTCTCAACCCATGAGAGCATTTGAGGTGGGCCTAACACTGTGTCTACACCGGACACGAACGGCGCAGCGCAACAAAATACTATAGAACCCATTATAATCAATTATAAAACGCAGTGCGACATGACAAATCCCCGACAGTAAACTGCTGCCTCGTTCTATGACATACTGACACAAAATTCTAATGATTTGCAACGGTCGATTTGTCGCGTGACGTTTACAGACTTTTGCTGTTGTGGTGTGGCGCGACCACTGTCACATCTGGTATATAGGATCGCAACGAATGATAGCAAGTATGATTTGTCGTGTCGCGCCGCATCCAGTGTAGACAGCATCACTGATTATAATGGGTTCTATAGTATTTTTATTTGATTTGATTCTCATTCACTAATCAAACATGTCAGAGCCCTCTTTTGCTATTTGGACCTTTACTAAACTACTTTGGCTTCTTACTGAGGTTCGGAGGCTTTTAAAGTGTTACAAAATACCACGTCAAAGACAACAACTATTATGACCCCCACAAAACATTTTAGACCTTACAATTACATTATTTTGAAAAAATAGTAATAATCATAATAAAATAGAAATGAATATACAGAAACACAGCTATGATAGAAATTACTATATGAACGATATGATGTTTCAGATTCAGCATAGGTGTTGTTAAATCGTAAGCGTCATAAATAAACCCTATTTGGACAAGGAAGGATTAGCAAGATTTCTATTGATCTCTGCCGTGAATGTAAAATATGTTTCTGAGGCTTCCCGTTTGATGTATAAATACTTATCTTGACGTGTGTGTTCAGATGCAGAGCGGGAAGTTAAGTTGCAGTTCCAGCAGAAGCTGGAGCAGGAGCGCGCTCATTGGACACAGTACCGCGATGGGATGGAGCGAGAGGTGGCTGAGCTCCGCCGCCGTCTCTCTGAGGGACAGGAGGAGGAGAACTTGGAGAACGATATGAAGAAGGTCAGATTCGCTTTTTGATTTGACTACTTTTTAGCATTTTACTTCCCCGAACTGTGAAAAAGATATGAAAGAGCCATTTTATCTGAATCGTGACTCAAAGCCAGAGTGTTTACATCGTGTTAGTACTGGGTGTGTTTAGCGAGCTTGGGTTTGTATAAATCTAGGCTCAGGAGGATGCAGAGAAGCTACGCTCGGTGGTGATGCCAATGGAGAGTGAGATTGCAGCGCTGAAGGCCAAACTGTCAAGCTCAGAAGATCGAGTTAAGGAACTCGAGGCAGCGAAGGTTAGACGTGCATAAAAAAAGTGGAACTGAGAGCCATACCGTTTTGTTCAGATATATTATTAGATGTGACTCATTTTGTTCCTTTCTTGTGGTTATGATCTCTTGAATAGACAAATTCACACCTGGCCAAGTGATTGAACGGTGAATATGTGTAACAATACAGCCATTAGTTATGATTATGACTGTGATAATGTTTTGGCCTTAGGAATGAGTCATAAATCAGTTGAGTCTTGTAAAACTTGGTAAAAGTCAATGATCCAGCAGTCATCTCAGTCGTAAAGTCAAAAGATTGTAGATGAGTCTGCCAGTTTATTTGGAAACATAAAATGTTCATTTTGACTCTGAGGTGTAAAGGTTGTGTGAAGGCCTCTGTTTATGGGTGCTTCTACTTTTAATCATGGAAAACAAAGTTTGAACACGTGCTTGGTTAATTCCCAGGTGAAGGAGCTCAATCACGTCCTGAAGGCTGAGAAATCATGCCGTACAGACTTGGAGATGTATGTTGCCGTCCTCAACACCCAGAAATCTGTCCTTCAAGAAGACGCAGAGAAACTTCGGAAAGAACTACATGAAGGTATGTGACACAAATTTGCAAACATTTCTAGAAGTTTTAGTTTCATAGAACACTGGAAGTCTTTTTTTTAACACTGTATGTAATTTTCCTTTTTGTTCTTATTTTGGTTGATCAGTTCAGGTTGCCACAAGCTAGGTCTATTTTTAGTTATTTTATTGGTTGCACTTTATTTTACAGTACGTGTACTTGCATGTACTTAAGTAATATAAGGTAACTACATGGGGTAGGGTTAGGTTTAGTACCTAGTTATTACCTAGTTATAGTAATTACTTTAATAAGTACATATTATGTACAGTGGGGCAAATAAGTATTTGATACACTGCCGATTTTTCAAGTTTTCCCACTTACAAAGAATGGAGAGATCTGTAATTTTCATCGTAGGTACACCTCAACTGTGAGAGACCGAATCAAAAAAAAAGTTTAAGGAACTCTATCTTTCTAAAGAAGGTAATGTATGGTTTACAATATTTGCTGATGGACCAATAAGATACAGAAAAAAGAGAGATGTATTTGTTTTGTTTTAGTTTTAGTTCATTAAAAAATTGCTTATTTTTAGTTTTGCTTGCTTGACACTTTTTTTTATTAATTTGTGTTTTTATAGTTTTTATTATTATTATTATTTCGTTTTTGATTTGTTTTTGTTAATTAATTTGTTTATTTATTTGTTATTTAGTTCACATAGGTGTAGTTTGTCAGTTTTAAAAGGGAAAACTAATTCTTTCAATAGACATGTAATGCATCCATTACACGTTGGGCCTGGATGCACACATAGATACAGTAGACTGAACAACAAGTTGTCATAGATCTTTATTTCCCAGTGAATCTGTCCTGGGGCAGGATGAAACCCAGATACATTTCCAAACTTTTCTATCAGCGTTAGCAGGGATCTGAACACTAGGCTCCGTTTATGCTTAATACATGAATATGGGTGCAATCGGAGTTCAAAGTTAATGAAACGTCATAGTGAGGACACGCTGTAATAGTGAAACAAATGCTGGTGGCCTTACAGAACTGAAGCTGTTGGTTCCTCTACATAAACCTTTGTTCTTGTCCTGTAAATATGTCAGAGGAGCTGAAGAGGCAGGCTGCTGTACTGGAGAAGGCCCAGGCAGAGCTGAGCAGTGTGCAGACGCAGCTGGAGGAGGCTAAAGCAGAGATGGAGACCATCAAAGCGGTGGCCACTGTCTCTGAGAGCACAAAGCAGGAAGCCATCGACCAGGTCAAGCAGCAGTGGCAGGAGGAGGTGGCATCACTGCAGGCTATTATGAAAGGTAATAAGATACTGATTATTTTCAAGTGTCTGGTAACGGATACGCAGAACCACTTTTTATTTATTGTTCTATTTCTGCTGGTTGAAACGGTAACTAAATCATTCATCTTTATCCTGAAGGTGACTGAACTGCTGTATGACAAAACTAATATTGCTTTGAGTAATAATAAAAAGTAAAATACTTTTTGAAAGCAACAAATTAAAGATAGCAACCTTCAACACGGTCACACCACTGCTTTTAAGAAGAAGCCATGGGTTAAATAGCTTAAAATTTTAAAGACTTTCTAGATGGCACGATTTATTGACGTTTTTCATATTATCTATACTAGTTCTACAGTTTTTTTTCTTTTCATTTTTTTAAATTTTTATAAAGAACTACTTTTATTCAGCAAAACTTTTATTTTATTCTTTATACAAAAGATTTAACAAAGATGATTTTCAAATAAATGCTGTTCTTTTTAAAGTGTTATTTAGTATTATTTATATACTAATAGCATTTGTATTATTATTTTGAATTATTTTTTTCTTATTTTAATTCTTCAATAATTTTTTTTGTAATGTTGTCATTTGTTTATTTGTCAGTATTTATTTGTTTCCAGTTAGTAATTTTAGTGCCTCAACTTAGTTGCCAGGACAGTATTTCTATTTGTTGTTTATTTTTTGACTAGTATTTATATTTCATTTTATTTCAGCTTTACTTCAATTAACAAAAATGTTTTAATAGTTTTAGTTTAACTTTGTCATTACAGCAATAAATTATATTTTAAAATTAGGGCTGGACAAGTTAATGCGTTAATGCATTATTTAAAGCCGACAATTATTTTATCACGCATTAACGCAGTTTTTATTATTATTATTATTATTATTATTTTGAAAGTCCGTTGCTCACTGGCTCTGAATATACATACAGACAAACCATCGGTCACAGGAGGGGTGGGATGTTGATCAGTGCTGGTTTGGGATGGGCGTCATCATGCGTCTCAACCAATGAGAGCATTTGAGGTGGGCCTAACACTGTGTCTACACCGGACACGAACGGCGCAGCGCAACAAAATACTATAGAACCCATTATAATCAATTATAAAACGCAGTGCGACATGACAAATCCCCGACAGTAAACTGCTGCCTCGTTCTATGACATACTGACACAAAATTCTAATGATTTGCAACGGTCGATTTGTCGCGTGACGTTTACAGACTTTTGCTGTTGTGGTGTGGCGCGACCACTGTCACATCTGGTATATAGGATCGCAACGAATGATAGCAAGTATGATTTGTCGTGTCGCGCCGCATCCAGTGTAGACAGCATCACTGATTATAATGGGTTCTATAGTATTTTTATTTTATTTGATTCTCATTCACTAATCAAACATGTCAGAGCCCTCTTTTGCTATTTGGACCTTTACTAAACTACTTTGGCTTCTTACTGAGGTTCGGAGGCTTTTCAAGTGTTACAAAATATCACGTCAAAGACAACAACTATTATGACCCCCACAAAACATTTTAGACCTTACAATTACATTATTTTGAAAAAATAGTAATAATCATAATAAAATAGAAATGAATATACAGAAACACAGCTATGATAGAAATTACTATATGAACGATATGATGTTTCAGATTCAGCATAGGTGTTGTTAAATCGTAAGCGTCATAAATAAACCCTATTTGGACAAGGAAGGATTAGCAAGATTTCTATTGATCTCTGCCGTGAATGTAAAATATGTTTCTGAGGCTTCCCGTTTGATGTATAAATACTTATCTTGACGTGTGTGTTCAGATGCAGAGCGGGAAGTTAAGTTGCAGTTCCAGCAGAAGCTGGAGCAGGAGCGCGCTCATTGGACACAGTACCGCGATGGGATGGAGCGAGAGGTGGCTGAGCTCCGCCGCCGTCTCTCTGAGGGACAGGAGGAGGAGAACTTGGAGAACGATATGAAGAAGGTCAGATTCGCTTTTTGATTTGACTACTTTTTAGCATTTTACTTCCCCGAACTGTGAAAAAGATATGAAAGAGCCATTTTATCTGAATCGTGACTCAAAGCCAGAGTGTTTACATCGTGTTAGTACTGGGTGTGTTTAGCGAGCTTGGGTTTGTATAAATCTAGGCTCAGGAGGATGCAGAGAAGCTACGCTCGGTGGTGATGCCAATGGAGAGTGAGATTGCAGCGCTGAAGGCCAAACTGTCAAGCTCAGAAGATCGAGTTAAGGAACTCGAGGCAGCGAAGGTTAGACGTGCATAAAAAAAGTGGAACTGAGAGCCATACCGTTTTGTTCAGATATATTATTAGATGTGACTCATTTTGTTCCTTTCTTGTGGTTATGATCTCTTGAATAGACAAATTCACACCTGGCCAAGTGATTGAACGGTGAATATGTGTAACAATACAGCCATTAGTTATGATTATGACTGTGATAATGTTTTGGCCTTAGGAATGAGTCATAAATCAGTTGAGTCTTGTAAAACTTGGTAAAAGTCAATGATCCAGCAGTCATCTCAGTCGTAAAGTCAAAAGATTGTAGATGAGTCTGCCAGTTTATTTGGAAACATAAAATGTTCATTTTGACTCTGAGGTGTAAAGGTTGTGTGAAGGCCTCTGTTTATGGGTGCTTCTACTTTTAATCATGGAAAACAAAGTTTGAACACGTGCTTGGTTAATTCCCAGGTGAAGGAGCTCAATCACGTCCTGAAGGCTGAGAAATCATGCCGTACAGACTTGGAGATGTATGTTGCCGTCCTCAACACCCAGAAATCTGTCCTTCAAGAAGACGCAGAGAAACTTCGGAAAGAACTACATGAAGGTATGTGACACAAATTTGCAAACATTTCTAGAAGTTTTAGTTTCATAGAACACTGGAAGTCTTTTTTTTAACACTGTATGTAATTTTCCTTTTTGTTCTTATTTTGGTTGATCAGTTCAGGTTGCCACAAGCTAGGTCTATTTTTAGTTATTTTATTGGTTGCACTTTATTTTACAGTACGTGTACTTGCATGTACTTAAGTAATATAAGGTAACTACATGGGGTAGGGTTAGGTTTAGTACCTAGTTATTACCTAGTTATAGTAATTACTTTAATAAGTACATATTATGTACAGTGGGGCAAATAAGTATTTGATACACTGCCGATTTTTCAAGTTTTCCCACTTACAAAGAATGGAGAGATCTGTAATTTTCATCGTAGGTACACCTCAACTGTGAGAGACCGTTTGGTTATTGACGAGCATTATAGTCTGCACTACACTATACCTTAATATCATATAAGGAAGTGCATACAGGATGTGTTTTTGTGTTCAGAAACAGAACACAAGTTCTCAAGTCGTGTTTTAAGAGTTAAACTATTTTTAACTTGACCCTGTCTTTAAAACTCAGCATTCATGGTGTCAGTTGCTCACAAAAGAGAACAAATGCATCCTGTGTGAACGTTCCAAACACAGTAGCAAACTTTTACGTGCTTTTTTTTGGTTTACTTGTATGGTAATAAACTCAATCCAAATGTAATATTTGCTGTAAGGTTAGATGCGTTAGATTGTGCTGATGGTGTTTCATCATCATACGTTATGATCAGCTGTCACTCGCACATGTGCACCAAAATTCTTGGTAACGCTTTACAATAAGGTTCCATGTGTTAACTGTATTTAATGCATTAACTAACAGTAAACAATACATTTGTTACAGTATTTATTCATCTTTGTTAACGTTAGTTCATAAAAATACAACTGTTTATTGTTAGTCCATGTTAGCCCAGGTCTATTAATAGTAATAGACAGTAATACAGTAATAGATACAACTTTTCATTTTAATAATGTATTAGTAAATGTTGGAATGAACATTAACTAAGAGTAATAAATGCTTTAGAAATATTTTTCATTGTAAGTTTAACTCATAGAATACAGAAATATTAATTGATTTAAATCCACCAGCAAGTCACTGGTTTTATCACGGAATCATTCATTCAATTGATTCGTTCGAACGGCTGAATTATTCAGGAATGAAGCAAGTGACTCTTTATGAACTGACGGAAATCCGTTGTAGCGATGGGAAAACTTTAATCCCTGAACCCAAGACACCACAAAAACAGCTCTGATCACGGCGTCCTCCATTCACTTCTATCAGATCAATAGGTCTGTTGAATCTCTAAATTATTATGGAAAGACAGTAACATTGTATAGTATTTTAAAGTATAAGTATTGTAAAAATTTAATATTGAGTATGTGTGTGTGTGTGTATGTGTATATATATATATATATATAAATATACACACTGAGTACTATGACATCTGGTTAGTTTTACTGTAAATTTATGCAAATATTTGGTCAGGAAGAGGATGAGAAGGAAAGATTGAGCCAGGCTAAAGAGGCCAGTGAGGATGATGGGACGGAGCATGCAGAAGCAGTGGAAGACTTTCTGTTCGGACTCTCCATAGAAGAGGTATTTTTACAGTAATTCTGTGTTTGTTTGTTTTTCTAGATTTATGATTTAATATAAATTACTATCAGAAATGGTTGCAATCAAAAGCATTGAACAATAAGAATTTAAATAATCTTTGGAATGTAATTAAAATGTAATAATTCCTTATTTTTTGCTAGGGTTGGGTATCGTTTGGTATTTTTTTCGATACCGGTGCCAAATCGATACTTTTAAAACGGTTCCAGTGCCTAAACGGTGCCTGAAACGATACTTATTAAAAAATAAATAAATAAAAATTCCCCCAAAAATGATGGATTGGCTATTAGCACTATAAACACATGATGTCTGCTTCATTCATACTGGACGCCAGATGGCGCCCTCACACAGAAAATCCCCATATCCAGTCAGAGAATGACCTTCCAGGAAATCGCTTATATGGACAAAGGCATGCTATTATAGCGGTAACAGAGTAAACAGAACATATAAACGTTTTGAATGATAAAACAAAGACAATAAACACTCGACTGCGACAGGATAGATTATCTGTTATTCAAGCCATCTCTGGTATTTTCATAATTAAGTATATTTATAATCCATTGCTAATCGATGTATTCTTTTTAAAGTAGCCTATGGAACATATTTTCTGCCTCATTCTGTGACAAGAAGCTACATCAGATCACAAAAGGAAGCATTTGACTGGTGTTGTGGAGTAAAAAGGTTATAATGTTCTCTTTTGTTGGACAACAGGTTTAGAAATGTGAATACAAGGGAGGTTTAGCTTTAGGCATTTTAATTTAAGCATGTTTAGCTTAGTTAACGGAAGGCTACCTGCTGCCATCAGAGCAAGTGTAATTACTGCATTCACGCGCTCCTCGGATGCTCTCATTTCCCGAGTTGTGCTTAAGTCGGAATGTGAAAACAACATGGACACTTGCGTTACTACAAAGATTTGTATTATTAGAGCTTTCCGATTTGAGTTCACGTGCGTTTTCTCAGTCAGGAAATAATTTTTCACGTGCGGTGCCAGTGATGATGCTTCTTACTAGGGGTTGACTGATTATCGGCGCCGATATTAAGCATTTTTATGATTATCGGTATCGGTCATTTTCAAAACCTATTTGCCGATTAAAATAATTACATTTTGAAACACGCTATCTGGCTCTGATGGAGCCTGTCGGAACTCACCACTCTGTGGCCTAAAGCAATCTCTGCCCACCGCCCATCTGATTTGTTGGGAGTCACGAGTCAGACCAATCAGCATGGAAGGCTAAAGGCACTGAAAGTTTTGCACTCACACCGAAAGTGCATGCTAACTGGAGCTGCTTCAGTGATCACGCATCAGTTGTGTCTCTACGGCAGCAGCAGACGTTGCTGAAGTTGCAATAAATCACAATCCACTACACTGAAATTTCGAAACGCCTCAATATTATCTGTTTATGGTTTCCGCGATGGGGAAAACGTTGACGGAATCGCGGAATCCAGTCATATAAATGGAATGTACTGGATGACGCGGAATGCCATGGAATTTGTCAAAGTTTGGATGAATTAATCAAAAGTAGGTCAGTACACTTAAATCGACTCGTACTTTGGACTAGTATCTGTAAATATTAAGCCGCAAAAAGACTATTTAAATATGAATCCTGCATGTTCTGCGTGTCTCTGTATATATGAATAGCACACGCGCGGTTTTGTATACTACACACATACTGAAGAGCGTGATGCTCGCGGTGTTTTCAGCATCTGCCGTCTCACTGAATGAGGACATAAATACATGAACAACATCCCCAGAACTGCTCTGAGAGCATTTGACCGTTTAATTTGAGTAAAACTATCGTCATATCATATACAGTGGGGGAAAAAAGTATTTAGTCAGCCACCAATTGTGCAAGTTCTCCCACTTAAAAAGATGAGAGAGGCCTGTAATTTTCATCATAGGTATACCTCAACTATGAGAGACAAAATGAGAAAAAAAATCCAGAAAATCACATTGTAGGATTTTTAAAGAATTTATTTGCAAATTATGGTGGAAAACAAGTATTTGGTCAATAACAAAATTTAATCTCAATACTTTGTTATATACCCTTTGTTGGCAATGACAGACGTCAAACGTTTTCTGTAAGTCTTCACAAGGTTGTCACACACTGTTGCTGGTATTTTGGCCCATTCCTCCATGCAGATCTACTCTAGAGCAGTAATGTTTTGGGGCTGTCGCTGGGCAACACAGATTTTCAACTCCCTCCAAAGATTTCCTATGGGGTTGAGATCTGGAGGTATACCTATGATGAAAATTACAGGCCTCTCTCATCTTTTTAAGTGGGAGAACTTGCATAATTGGTGGCTGACTAAATACTTTTTTGCCCCACTGTACATAGGCTACAGAAACTTAAAAGGTCCTCATGGCAACCCATCAAAATAAAACTTTGGTTTAGCTACTACTACTAATACTACTACTACAATTATTACAACTTCTGTTTAAAAGAATAATCACACAATATGCTATTTCTTCCATGTTTTAATTTTAATAGTAAACCCCTTTGTTTGCCAAAAATAGAGTTTAACTCCCATTTGATTAAAAGATAAATGATATTAATGTTTTATGCCTTCATTTGCACTGCACTGTAAATTAAAACTAATGGACATTACTGTCACATAGGCCAAGATTAAGATACTGTCACGTAGGCTAAGATTAGAATGACAAAAATTTCAATTATGTTTCAATAGGCTTTTGAAAATAGTCTATTAGTGTCAGGTATGGAGCCAGATCGGCCTCAAAAATAACACATTTGCAAAACAACTTATGTAATGTGTTCTGTTGTTGTTGGTAGTAGTAGTAGTAGTATCAGGTTCACAGTAACTTTTGATCAGGCATTAAAAACAGCTATCACCACCGAAGGGAGATTTCAAACACACACAAGTGAAGAGATTTCAGCATGGAGGATGAAAACCACACTCAACGAGTGAGTAAAGT